TCATGATTAATTGATCTGGACTTAATCTAGACAATTTTAATGTCATTAGATAGCCCTAATCATGAATTATTATATAAGGTGATTAATTATACTAGATAATTTTAATGTCATTAGATAGCTCTAATCATGATTTATTATATAAGTTGATAAATCTTTAAAACAGTTACGAATGCTTAATATCAAGCATATAACTAATAAGATGTGAGTTTCTCTTGTTTTATTAACATCAACATTGGATGAGTGACTCACGTGTTATCTCCACATGAAGCTACTTTATTCTGGGGTAAACAAGCAGACAGGTGAACCAGTCTTTCCTTGTGGCACTTCATCTGAAGCAGTTCCTGTAAAAAAAAAAAAACTTTTTCTAACCAGAAACATTTTCTGTATACATCCCTAATTCATTGACTGATTGTTTTTGTTGATGTCTGTGATCCCTAATACATTGACTGATTCCTTTTGTTGATGTCTGTGATCCCCAATTCATTGACTGATTGTTTTTGTTGATGTCTGCAATCCCTAATTCATTGACTGATTGTTTTTGTTGATGTCTGTGATCCCTAATTCATTGACTGATTGTTTTTGTTGATGTCTGTGATCCCTAATTCATTGACTGATTCCTTTTGTTGATGTCTGTGATCCCTAATTCATTGACTGATTCCTTTTGTTGATGTCTGTGATCCCTAATTCATTGACTGATTCCTTTTGTTGATGTCTGTGATCCCTAATTCATTGACTGATTCCTTTTGTTGATGTCTGTTAAGCTTTCATGTAAAATTATTTATCTTTTGTAATAATTATCATCCTTAAAATAACATGATCAAAATAACTTTATGTTTTTATCCCTAGAACAAATACCAAATAACATAACACTCACATATATCAAACATATCCCATAAACTGATAAAAAGTAGTCCATTAACAAAAGATGAGTTGGTTATCCCTTAAGTTGTAGGTTTATTTTTTCTTTGACCGGTAATCTTCAACTTTGGTATAAACACCCCTTTAGAAAAACTAAAACTAAAAATGAACTTTGACCTTTATTTTAACAATGAACTCCTTCTCAAGAAATTATATGTAATAACATACATAAATATGTATTATATGGAATTCCACAAACCCGATAATAATAGAAATTACCAACAACAAAAAGTATTTATGTGTATGTATTTTTTATAGCAAAGCCACATCAGGCTATCTGCTGTGTCTACCTAAAGGAAACATCCTGACTTTAGCAGTATAAATCTGTAGACTTACTTCTGTCCCACAGGGGGACAAAAAAGTGTTTAGTTGTAATTCACATTAAACATTGCATCTTTCATATTTTATTTGATACCTTTGAAAAATTTCTATGAATGTTTAAAATGTGGAAAGATACATTACAAAAACAAAATAGCTATATAACATGTAAATTTCCATTTTAAGGCCTAGATGTATCATAAGACATTACAAAATCAAAATAGCTATATAAAATGTAAATTTCCATTTTAAGGCCTAGATGTATCATAAAACATTACAAAAATTACCAAATGCTTGTGACAAAAAATGTCAAAAGAAATTACAATACAAGATTATACAAAACTTTGAAATTTATAACTTAAGAGTAAAAATAATTTTTCACATTAGTCAAGTATACTTGATAAAAAACTACACAATGCTAGCTGATATACCCAGGGCATGTATCATGATACTAGAAAGTGCAAAATGAAAGTGCCAGGTTGAACAATCCAAAACAAAAGAAAATTCAAAAATATATCAAATAGATGTAGCACATGACAACAAATTCTAAGTAACTGAGATATGATACTTGCTGAGAAGTTTCCAGAAGATGTAAAATTACATAAAATATTAGCCTTAATGCAAGAGTGGTCCATAGGTTATTTACAGTGTTTCACGAAGCTAACTAAGAAGTCACTGATCAAACTTTCAGGCATCACAGTAAGACAAGCTTATGGCTTGTGGAGGATACATACAGTATTTGCTGAATAAAGTTGCTCCAGTGTTTTTACATCACCTAAAGTTAGATCTTAACAACCCATAATTTACTGAAATTACTTTGCAAAACACACAACTACACTTGTTAGCCTTAATACACAAGTCTGGAGTTATCTTTAATAAATCTTGAAGTTTGATAGAAAGGAGGGTTATATATAGTAGGAACATTTGATTAAAACTCATGTAACAGCATTGGCAAAAAAATTGAGGAGAGAGATGTGTCAATCAAAATGAGAAAAATCTTGTTAGCCCTAAGTAATATACATCTCCACACTTCAAGTAACATTTCATGAACATCAGATAAAAACACACCAAAAAAGAACAATATATCTTCTCTAAAGGAATGAAAAGGGGGAAAACTTCAGTAACAAGCACTGACTAAAGCAACTATGTTTGATAGCATTTATTGATTTGCACTGATATTGATGTTGTTTCTTACCGAAAGAACATCTAAACTTATTTTCATAGAAATATATAAATTTAATTAATCAATATAATTATCTTTACAACCTTACATTTTCAAGTTGAATTCTATTGTGAACACTGATAACTTAATAATAATATTGAGCCTCTATTTATGTAAATAACCTATGTAATAATATCCGTCAATTTAATCTAACCTACCATCAGATAATCATATATGTTGTGCTTAAAGTGAAGGCTGTTATTATTATGTTTCAGTTTTATTTTTGAAACTGAATACTCGGAGATTAATTCAAGATTTTGGATAGAGATTTGAGCCGTTACCTTTTCCATTCTCTACACAATTCTTTTAGAGCCTTACCTGACCTATTTCTTTGAGATGAGTAGATATCACAACAAAAAATCCCTGAGAGAATCCTAATAAGATGTATCCATCTCCATACCTACACATCATAAAATAAAAAAATGTATCTTTTATCTTATCGTGAAAAATACATATTTACCTTTCGTGACTTCTTTTTAGTATAATAACATCTTGTGTTTTATATCCATACATCATATTGGGGGCTGGAATGCCAACTTCAGGGCAGTTTTGTTGTCTCCCCCACTGATGTGTAGTACTCTGTTATGTTTCTTACTATTTCTTTTTTACTTAAATGTAATAAGAGAGTAATCACCTTCCCACTTCTGGCCACAGATAGCGAAAGGTGGTAAAGATGTGGGACATTGTGGGCTTGGGCACCCACTTCTGGCCACAGACAGTGAAAGGTGGTAAAGATGTGGGACATTGTGGGCTTGGGCACCCACTTCTGGCCACAGACAGCGAAAGGTGGTAAAGATGTGGGACATTGTGGGCTTGGGCACCCCCATATACTCCTTCTCTCTGTTTCTTTCTTTTGTTTTTAAGAATGTGAGGCCAGCAAAATTAAACCAAACAAACAAGGTACTCCCAAAATAATTTGGGTCTTGCTTCAAAAATGAGGACACATTACATAATGACCCACCTTATGGTTCATTTAGATAATTCTTGAAGGAATTTGACAACTTCCTTTTTAAGTAAATTTCAATACGACAAATCAGAATGTTTTGGTGAAATTAGAGCAAATGGAACAATACATGTGATTATCATCACCAGTAGGTTAAATTTTAAACCTGGTTGAAAGTTAGGCCTTCTTATGGTAATATAAGTAAAAACTAACATTCGTTTGTAAGAAGAAATTCTAAAGCATAAACTAGTTTATTAAAAATTTTCATTAAACCAGTTAACCAGCACAAAGAAGCCATTATATCGTGAATGTGATATACATACTGATATTATAAGAGGTATTTGTTTTAAATGCTATATAAAAAAAACAAGGTATAAAGAAGTGAACAGTATTAAAGTTAATTTGTTTCAATTTACCATAAAAAAACCTGACCAAACAGTCTTTTATTTCTTTAGATTATAACCTTAACAGCCGTTCATTATTAGAAAATAATCATTATGTACGTCACTGTCCAAACAGCTTGACAGAACTGAAAGCCTGGTTTTGTCTGTGTTAATTACATAAAAAGAAGAATCGTCGAAAGTTGTTTAACCAACCAAAAGCCTGCCTAATTTCAACACCTCCTGTGTCCTTAAGGGAATTCCAAGAGCAGTGGTCACATAAATGTTTGTTGACCAGTTTTCTCCTGCCAGAAAACAACGTGAGACTGAAGAGAATGCACAAATTTGTCAAAACTAGTTTCTTAATAAATGACTTCTGACAGTTTGTTCCATTTACTGCGTTTTTTCACTAATTTGTGCATCTTTATTTCACAATAGTACATGAAACACAGAAAAAATGTAACAATGTGACACTATTTTATTGACTAGACTTCAGTCGTTCAAAATAAAATAAAAAACAGAACCATTTGCTCTGTAATACTGAACCTTAATTTCATTATTTAACTTCTTTTGTTGTTTTAATAAGTGTACAAATATACCTCAATTGTTACTGATGGTATATTTAATACACAAGTCCTGTAGTCTATCAATTTCTAAACTTTCATGAAGACAAAATAAAATCCTTATTTCAAAAGCTGTACCATACCATATTTTTAATACACTAATTTAAACTATCTACACATCATAAACAGTATTAATAAGGAGAACATAAGAAATTCAGTAAATTACCATTTGTATTCTATGATGGCCCCATATTTCTCCTGGAATGCTAAAACAACAGGATTTTCTGCATCATTGATATTCAACAAAAACAATGTTTTCTTCTGAAGAACAAGGCTGACCTGCCAGAGAAGAGATAAGAAGCCGTTATTTGTAATAACTTGGTGATATTTTAGAAATAAGAAACGTATGAACATATATTGGAGATCCATCCGTTTTATGCTTATTTCGTACTTCACTATCCAACCAGCATTTATGGAACACAGGCTTAAATTTCTATTCACATTCATGTGAAAGCCACTAAGGCTATTTGTTGCCATCCCGCATTATGAACTAGTGATCAGAGGACAGACAAACAGCCTACAAACCACACTAAGGGATTGACTGTCACTCTTATAATGCAACCACAGCATAAAGTGAGTGGAATATTGTATGGTATCACACAGTTTTGAAACCAGTTCTCCAGGTCCGAAATCAGCATCTCTACCACATGCTTAAAGGTAGTACCAGAAGTTAATTTGTTGATGTTTCCTGCTTGAATGTGTGTGTATGTGCTACATAATTTCAAGATGTCTGTATTTTCACTGCCAATACACATTACTTCATCCACAGATAACATTCCGGAATTTCAAAAATACAAATTCATTGGTTTACGTTTTTATGTGCTCTTTTACACTCTTAATCAGAGGGTAGATTATACATACAACAAAATTTTCCATTGAAATGCTAATCCCAATGATACAACTGAGAAATAAAAAGAGAAAGACTTAAAAATACACAAACACCAAATTAATATAATTTGTTCCTTTACTTGTGCTAATTAAAAAAATGACTGGCATCTTATATACAGTGATGCTCAGTAAAGACATTGTTTTTCCTCAATTTGTACATGTATGATTGTTTTTTCACAAGGCTTGATTATACTATCAAAATTACAATCACAGTTTTTCCATATCAAAAAGTTGAAAAACATCATGGCAATATTTTTTCTCATATTCCAGATTAAACCTATTCAAATCCAAATTTTTAAGAAATTATAAATATAAAAAACAGTGTCCTAAATACAGTTTAGATTGTAATTGAAATTCAAAACTTTCTGTTATTAATGTTTTAAGATTTATCCTGTACTCTACCATGTTTACTATACTTTTCTTTAATATCAACTACAATCCAATGAGTCAAAGCTTATCAGTCACAGTTTCCGTAAGATTCTTTTGAAGAACATAAGAACTTAAAAAACAATAGTTTCTTTAAGACTGTTTTTTATCAGAAAAAATACTATAAAATGTGTTAATCATTTACAGAATAATATAAATATTAAAGTGTAAGTTTGCATTAAGAAAAGGGTAATGGTGAAGAAACTCACGGTGTTATCTCCTGAAGTTCTATCATCTTGCTTCATGGAGGAAAACTGAACTAACGAGGCTTCAGCTTTTAAACTGCTCTCACACACCGTATCTCCGTCTTGGTTGCTAACTGTCAAAACTTTATCATCTCCCACAAGGGCTAGGTAATTCTGCTGACTCCAAGCTCCATATGTAATACGCTTACTGTGCTTACCAAGAATTGGAACTTTCCTGAATATCCAAAAACCCTTCTTCAGAATAATATAAGACTCAAAAGTTACTTTTATATGCATAGCAATTTCTAATTCTATTCAGTATAGTAAATTTCAGATTTCAGATCAAAAATTAATTCTTAGTCTCTGCTTGGTTCATCTCCGTCAAGCGATTATTTGACGAAACAAATACAAGGGCCACTGAATAAAGAAATAAAATAATAATAACTAAAGTATGTATATGTACCAGTAGATCTATTGATAACATGAACCAGTTATTGATTACTGACATTCATAGAAAAAAAGTGTAGTTATCGAGTGAAGCTTTCCAATGGTACACAATCATCCTGTGACACTTTTTATTTTAAAAAAGTAATAAACATATCTGGGTTTCTCAAAATAAACGTTGCCATATTCTTACTAATCTATTTGAAAGGTTACTATTTCTGTACAACAAATAACATCAGAAAGAGTGAAGTCAAACTTCTGTAATAGTGTTAGTGTTAAAGACAATACTGCTAATGTTTTTAGTTCATATATGTAAACTCAGATCAATCCATTATTTCATTAAAAAGTTCCCTTTATTTTTGTTCGTATGTCTTTACTGTGTTATGTAATAATGCCATGAACTACAAATTATACGTCGAATGTTTAAATACTGCACATAAAAAATGAACAATAAAACAAATATACCTTGATGTTCTGTGGTTATAAATGAGAAGATTTCCTTTAGAGGTTCCGATAGCAAGTATGGGAGAGCTTTTTGACCACAAGAGTACGGTGAGAACGTCTCTACAATCCAGAATAAAAGTTCTAACATTTTTACTCAACATATAACTTTCTACTATACAAACCGACATATCAAAAAATACCTTGTACTATCATTTCTATAGCATTTTAAATAAATAATGATTGAAAAAGAAAGAAATGTGATTGTGACATATTTTCTGAACACAAGTACATAGGTTTTATTTAGAAATAGAGTGAAATAACTACTATCTATTTATATTAATTTTAATACTTTAGACAATTTTCTATTGGACCATTTCCTCTATAATACAACATCATTAGGCCTACTATAGTGTATGCATAAAAACTAGCTTCCTGTTCAACAGGTACATAGGTCATGTATATCTATATTATGTAATGGTTTTTATTGTATTATGAACTGACCCCCTAAAAATCAAATTCATATTTAAAAGGTCTCATAGTTATCATGTCGTATGTTTGAAGTGTCTTTGTTTTGGATATGGTGACTTTTATGAGTTATTAATGCTTATTAATACAAGGTCAGAGGTGGCAGTATACTTACAACTGAACTTTAAACGAGTTAACCTAGCACTCAGATAAGTATGCTTAATTACACTGTGATGAAGTACTGAATTTGGAGGGCTACATAATATTTAAACGAGTTTCTCAAAGTGGTATTACTAATACTCTACATGTACATCTACTTATTTCTGTATGTTCTGATGAGCAACTGAAATATGAAAAGATCATATACCATGACATCAGCTTCCTTCTTGATACGGAAATTTAAAAAAACTCTCGTACTTGAACTGTTCTTTCTGTTACCACATATTATACCTGTTCAAATAATCTAAACTAATGAAAAAAAAGTACATTCTAATCTTTATAAATAGAAACACAAGATAAAAATATTTAATCAGCTATAACGATGACCAGGTTGATTTTGAATTTCACTCTCGTTAAGTAGCTCAAACTAACTGGAAGTTATAATTATTGTTCTTTCATTGGTAGGTTATCTGGTGAATATAATTACCACAAATTGATAATAAATTAGTTTACGTATTCTTTAATGTTTTTATAAGCTTAAACACCTTTTGTAACTTGTAGATTACATTTAAAGGCATGCTACCTGTACCACACTAACATAAAAATTAACTTATTTGTAAAACTTCACAGCTAATCGATCATGTAACTGAAAAGAAAACAATGCTTGATTTGCTGCTAGCTAAAACAAAAACACTCTCTGACTGATTCACTCTACCAGACAAAAAAACAAAACAATTCATTACTCCTTGTATTTATAATCTACTTTTTGAATGTAATTTGATGTGACCTTTTTTTTTAGAACATAACATCATCCACCTCTAGCAAACATCTAAGTTATAAAACTAAGAATATAACTTATCTCATCATTATAAATTACTATAGTAATGTTCACCTAACCTCAGTCCTGTGTCAATCTAGGTTATTTTGTATGTGGTTGAATCCCACAGGATAAGTAGAGGAGAATACTGACTAATAACTAACCTCAGTCCTGTGTCAATCTGGGTTACTTTGTGTGTGGTTGAATCCCACAGGATAAGTAGAGGAGAATACTGACTAATAACTAACCTCAGTCCTGTGTCAATCTGGGTTACTTTGTGTGTGGTTGAATCCCACAGGATAAGTAGAGGAGAATACTGACTAATAACTAACCTCAGTCCTGTGTCAATCTGGGTTACTTTGTGTGTGGTTGAATCCCACAGGATAAGTAGAGGTGAATTTTGACTAATAACTGCGAGTATGTCTCCATCTTTATCCCAGTCCATTCCAGAGCACATTCTATCACAAAACATAGAATTTAATTAATTATATTATAATAAACTCCCTTAAGTGTATTATAATGTATATATTTAAATATTATTTTATGACATTCTGTGTACATGAGAAATTACAAAATAATGATCCATTAATAAATATTTAAAACATCTTAGAACCCTATTTTGAGGCAAGATACTAATTCAAAGAACATTATCACAATTTTTTCAATGTAAAACTATTTTCCCTACATACAAAGATTACAATCATCACTATAAGGTGGTAGAAATTTACATCATAGCGGACTGATATCTATATGATTTACATCATAGGGGACTGATATCTATATAATTTACATCATAGGGGACTGATATCTATATAATTTACATCATAGTGGACTGATATCTATATAATTTACATCATAGCGGACTGATATCTATATAACTTACATCATAGCGGACTGATATCTATATAATTTACATCATAGCGGACTGATATCTATATAACTTACATCATAGGGGACTGATATCTATATAACTTACATCATAGGGGACTGATATCTATATAATTTACATCATAGCGGACTGAAATCTATATAACTTACATCATAACAGACTGAAATCTATATAACTTACATCATAGGGGACTGATATCTATATAATTTACATCATAGCGGACTGACATCTATATAACTTACATCATAGCAGACTGATATCTATATAATTTACATCATAGCAGACTGACATCTATATAACTTACATCATAGCAGACTGATATCTATATAATTTACATCATAGCAGACTGACATCTA